CAGGGGATAGACACTTGAAAGACGGGAGGTCAGGAATGAAGCAGAAACAGGGTGGACAGCTTCATGGGGCTGAACCTAGCTTTTCCACAATGCTGGGAACCCCATAGCAGAATTACACACCATACCTCCACAGCATCGCCAACCAGAGGACTTCACTGGGACACCCTAACTCCATGCTAGGGTACAGACTGGTGGTAGGTTAATCCAGAAGAGAACTGTTAAGTGAGCACACATTTTTGTAGAGCAATGGAAAGAAGAGAGTCTGGTGGGCCTGCCTTGCCATACTTGCCTGGGGAAACTCCTTGGAGCCACCTCTGGCCCAGGATTCTGCTTCTAGCCACAGGACTCTACACAGACCGATTCAGTAAATACCAGATTTGTCCTTGTCACCAGACCCAGGACTGGCCTCTACACAGCACCAACATAACCCTCCACCATCACTACTCCTGGTCAACCTGCCTACTGCTTGGTATCAGGTCTGCCAAAAATCCACTTTTGTTCTTCACAGGACACAGCCCAGGGAGAAGATTCTCACCTTGTGGAACTCACGAAGAAAAGAGCGCTCATACTCTCCTCGGCAGCGGTCTTCCATCCTTTCCCGGGTCACTTGATGCAGGGTGGTTGTAACAGCCTCGGCGCTGACCCGCTCCAGCAGACTGAGCCTATGCCTGGAGGAGATCTCTGCTCATGAAGAACCCACAACACACACCCGCCCCTAACTTAGGAGGGCCCTTCCCTTAAGGATACTCAGTGCATACACCCCATAACTGTGTCCAGGACAGAGTGTAAACTTGCCACACAATAACCCCTGGCTATATTGGGCAGTGGTGGCACACCTTTAATCCCAGCACTTGGGAGGCAGAGGCAGGCAGATGTGAGAGTTTGAGGCCAACGTGGTCCCAAAGAGTAACAGGACAGCCAGGAACACACAGAGAAACCCTATCTCAAAATAAAATAGATAGATAGATAATACCAAAAAAAATTTTCTTGGCTACAAGTACAGATGGAAAAGACCTCATCAGTTTGCTAGCTCTATACAGATGTCTACTAAATTCAGGACAAATGGGGTATCCAAAGAAATTGGGGCATGGCCAAAGGGGCAGTACTCACAGGACCTGGCTGAGTTGGTGGAACTGCTCCAGTGCCTGTCGGCACCAGCACTGCTGCTTGTCACTGCCACATCCTGCACACAGAGGGCTCTGCAAGAGTCGGTAGTACCTGCGGCGGGCATACCGGCTGTCTAGCTCACCCTCTAGCTCGGGGTCTGTGCCTCCTTCTCCTTTTCTCTTGCTCTGCATATAGACTCTCAGGAAACGACCATAGAGGCGCTGGACCATGTCCTGGAATGTCCTGGGGGTGGAAAAGAACAGGACTCCACGCAACATGGTGTGAACTTTCTCCCGAAGCCCCTGAGCTCCAGTGCCCATCAGCAAGCCCAGACGAGTCCATTTCTCTAGGAGTTCTAGGCTATGCAGGTAGGGATCCAAGCGGCTTTCCAGCAGGCCGAACGCATCCAGGAGCAGCAGGAGGCATTGGGGTTCATCGACAGAGTTTTCGCGCTGGGCGATGGCATTCCAGAACTCCGGGGCAATGTTGCCCTGCAGATCGTTCTGCAGCACCTCCACGAACCACTCCTCCAGGACAGAGTGCAGACCGTGGCCCCTTAGAACCTCCACCGCTGCGCGGAGCTCTTCTTCCTTTGGCGGGACCGCACCGCTGGTCCGGGAAGATGCCTGGAGCACGGAAAACCGTGAGCAGAGGGGGCGGGGCAGGGGTAAAAGGAGGGGAGGGGAGAGGAGGGGAATGAAAAACCTCCGCAGCCAAAGGCTGCTGGGGGAACCAAACGAATCAGATAGCTGAGGAAGGCGGCAATCCTACTACAGAAAGCTCGCACGGAGCTGTCAGGACACAAGGGTGGACTTCCTAAAGCATGCAGAGTCGCGACCTCCATACAGGCCCGCCAACCTTCCCCAGGCCTCACCAGGCCCAGTGCGGCCGGCGGCACCAGACCAGTGCTCACGGTATTCCAGGCAACCAAGAGCTCCTGTCCAGGCCTAGAGTCGCAGTCATCGGCGGCGGCGGCGGCGGCGGCGGCGGCAACTGCCACCGCCTCGGCCGCCGTCACCGCCACAGCCTCGGCCTCCATCCCGTCCACCGAAGAGCCCCGCCCAGCGCAGCGCACGCTGATGACGCCGGCAAGGGGCTGGCGCGCCGCCGTGACGTCGGCGTGCCCACGCGCTGGGGAGGCAGGCAGTGCGCAGGCGCGGGCCTGGCCGTGCGGGCGGCGGTTGAGGCTTCCGGACGCGGCGCCGACCATGACCCAACAGGGCGCGGCGCTGCAGAACTACAACAACGAGTTGGTCAAGTGTGAGCAGCGGGCACGGGAGGCCGGGGGCCGCGGGCCAGGGGCCGGCCGGCTCGCCCGGGAGGCCGCGCGGACACGCCTCACGAGCCCCGCTCGGCGGCCTGCCCGGTGGGTCTGGTGCTGGTCGGGGTCCGGAGCTCACGAGCCCCAGCCCACCGCTCTGCCTTCCCGCCCGCCCTAGGCATCGAGGAGCTGTGTCAGAAGCGAGAGGAGCTGTGCCGGCAGATCCAGCAGGAGGAGGACGAAAAGCAGCGGCTGCAGAATGAGGTGAGGCAGCTGACGGAGAAGTTGGCCCGCGTCAACGAGAACCTGGCGCGCAAGATCGCCTCTCGCAACGAGTTTGACCGGACCATCGCGGAGACCGAGGCCGCCTACCTCAAGGTGGGGCTCTCAGCTGTGCGCCGGCAGTGCCTCCGCACACAAGGAGCTGGGGCTGGGGCCCCCGCCGCGGCTCCGAGGCTGCAGGCGGGACCGTGGAGCCGCCTGTGGGATCCCAGGGAGTGAGCTGCGGTGTTTGGGGAAGAGTGCGTGGTGCGGGTCGGAACTAAGCCAGCTTGGCTTTGCAGGGAGGGCGGGAGCGAGGGTGGTCTCCTTCCCCTGTGGCCCGTTGGTTTCAGCACGGGCCAGGTGGAGATGCCCACTCTCCAGTGTGAGAGAGGCTGAGGCGGTGGGATCTTCCTGCCAGAGAAGTAACGATTCTTTGATTTCTCTGGCTCCAGATCCTGGAGAGCTCTCAGACTCTGCTCAGTGTCCTCAAGCGGGAAGCTGGGAACCTGACCAAAGCCACAGCCTCAGACCAGAAGAGTAGTGGAGGCAAGGACAGCTGACGAGTGCCTGTCTCAGCCGTGGCCTGTGGCTGCTCAGTCCCCAACATGTCTGTCCTAAAGCATCTTTGTTCTTCGTGGCCTCAGATGCCTTCTCACTATCACAGGAGCCCAGAGGGGCAACTTCTGACCTCCACCTGCCTTGGGTGACAAGAAAAGCCCTAGGACAGTCCAATAGGAAAGGAATTCCTCGCTCTGTACTCACAGGTGCCATGGGGACCCTGAGCTCCTGGTTAGCACCATGACTGGCCTCTCTCTGAAGCCCCCAAATCCCCTTGGGCTGCCAGGGAGGTCCTGGTCCTGGTCCAGGTCCTGTGGGAGCCACTCACTCTGCTCAGCCACTAGGGGCCCAGGCCAGGCATGTTGAGGAAAGAATCTTGACTCCAGAACTGAACCTTAGGGCCCATCCCCATGGCCTCTGATGTTTCAATAAAGGTTGTTTTGCAAAGACTTGTGGCATCTGCCAGCTACCATGTATCCTGTTGGTAAGGAAGATGGCCTGCCATTTCCCCTGGTTGTCCTCTTCAAAGCAGAACTGAGGTCAGCCCTATCCCTTAACTCTCCTAGTCTTTTCCCGGAGTCTAGCGCGCACAAACCACTTTCCTGTGAGGGGCTTTGCTATGCCATGGTGGTCAGCACAGAGCCTGAGACAGCTGGCAACACTCTATCCCAGCTGTTCTGGTTCTAAGGCTCAGCATGGACTGGGGTTCTTCAGACTGTCCCTTCCTCAGAGTTGTTTGGTCCCGTATATTGCCGCCACCAGGACCCAGCTCCCAGCCACGGTGTTGCTCACTCCTATTTCCATGTGTCCTGTGGCCCCGCCCTTTGCCACAGCTTCCCAGCAACAAGTTTGGAAGTATTTGTTGACTAAGAAGATCCAGAAAACAGGCTTGGTAGTTTACACCTATAAACCCAGCACTAAAGAAGAAAGGTGGCCTTAAGTTCCAGGCCATTCTAGGTTGCATAGTGAACTGTAGGCCAGCTTGGGGTACAGTATGAAGCCCTTTTTTTAAAGAAAAAGGATCCATAAAGCTGGACTTATTCTCTGAGGGAAACATATAATACTCCTCCAAGTCAAGCACTTTGTCTGTTCTTAGGTGACAGGAAAAGAAGACACTTGTATTCCGTGCCTGTGACAGTTTCCCTGTGTCTGTAGATAGCCCTACTTCTCCACTGGCTGCCTAGGCCTCTGAGAGCACAGCTTCCAAGCAGGCAGTTCTGCATCTCCCCAGACTCTTGGGAGTTCTCAGTTGCTACAGCCTTGTTAAAGTCTCGCAGGTCAGGAGGTATCCAAACCAGCCATGAGAAAAGATGTCCCTCTGGGTGGTGGTGATGACACCACCGCCTGCCTTTAATCCCAACACTCGGGAGGCAGAGACAGGCAGATCTCTGTGAGTTTGAGGCCAGCCTGGGCTACAGAGTGAGTTCCAGGAAAGGCGCCAAAGCTACAGAAAAACCAAAAAAAGAAAAGATGTCCCAAGTTCACTTAGCCCCATTCCTATGCTGTACACAACTAGCTACATTACTAGGCTCCTGGCCCCGTGGTGAATCCTGTCATTTACAGTACTCACCTTCTACCCTCTGGCAGCTAGGCCCCTGGGACATGGAGTTCCAGACCCCAGAGGTCAGGACCACTTCCCACTGTACTGGTGTAACAGGATTGGGGTGGGGAGAGAACAGGAGCCTGGACCAGCAAGACTTCAAGATGTGAGAACACCAGACTCTGGCCACCTTTTGCCTCTTTGCACAGGCACCCAAGTTAGGCCCCACCTTGTTCTCAGACTGAGGACTGTAAAGAAGGCAAAGGCAGCCTTGGTACAGTGCTGTTTATTGAGTCCAATATCAGGAAGGAAAAAAAAAAACACCCTGCCATCTGTCATGAGGGTAGCTGAGTTCCACCGTGGCAGGGTCATGCACTGGGGGCAGGAGCCTGGGGTTCAGCCAAGAGCAAGTGGCTAGGACAGTCTCTCACTCCCCAGAAGGCAGGAGCTGAGAGGCAGGACAGAAAGCACCCTGGGGCCCCCCACCTCATCACAAATGGGATGTTACACAGATGTCAGCCTGTCCCAGAGGCAATTCCCACCTGTTCTTCCCTGGAGCCCTCAAACAGGAATGAGATTCAGACCTGGCCCTAAGGGCAGCAGGCAAAAGGGAGAGAGGAAGGCTGGGAGAGCCAGATGGAAGGGACACAGAATAAAGTCAGGGCTCCTGGGCGTTGACTTGCTTCCAGAACCACCACACTTGGGGCTAAGTCTTGGCCATCCTGGCAGCCCCAGGGGTCAGAAATAGAGGGCTGGCTCGCTGCGGAAGTCCGAGAGATCGTTCTGACTGGCAGGTGTTAGCTGAGAGAAAGAAGAGAATATAGCCACTAAGCCTTTTCAGGCATCAACCCCTTCCCAAGCAGGCCCCAAGCAGCCCTTGGGGGGCCGGGTGTTCACCCCTAGCTCCACCGGGCTTACCATGACCTCCTTCGGTGGGAGTTCCACCTCAATTGGAGTCTGCACCACTGTCTGCTCCTGCCACTTGCTGAAGGCCACAGAATGCTTGGGAGTGTAGCTGGACAGGCCTGTGGACCAACGAGAATAGGCATGGGCACCTGGAAAATGTGGCCCAGGCTCCACTCCAGCCTGCCCATCCCAACACGCGGTGATTACCTGAGCTGCCATCTGGGAGTCGGGGGATCTCAGGGCCCACACTGCTTACAAATGTGGCCCGGGGCAGGAAGAGGGTAAAGGGCTTCTCTGAGTCAAGCCCTACTTCCTCCTCTTCGCCATCCTCCTCTCCCTCTTCCTCCTCCTCCTCCTCTGCTTCTTCCTGTGCTAGGGAGCTCTCCGAAGGGTACTCAAATGTTGTATGCAGGGTCTTGTCATTGAAGGATATCTTCATCTAGGAGTAAGAGCCATGTGAGCAGGGACCCTTCCACCCAGTTAAGCCGAGATGCTAGCAGGGAGAGAAGAGCCTTCTACCAAGAGTTATAGGCCCCACCTATCCCACCCTCTGCCTGCAGTAGCTCCTAAAGCTAATTCCATGTGCTGGGAATCTGTGCCCCTAAAAATTTCCTGAGCACCATCATACTGTCAGGGGCCTGCTTAAGAGGTTAATACCCAGGAAGTTGGTGCTAGGCATCATCGCCCATTTTTCAGGCTAGTGGGGAGTCCCACTTCCATAGAGTGGAGGGTACCAGCAATACTATCAGTGACCCCCAACTCCTACCCTACTGTGTACCTCAGTGGCTCCAGAATTTCATATTCAAGCAAATTCTCCCTTCTCTTCCAGTGGCCTGGTTCTGAAGGACAGAAAGCTGTGGGGCTTGATCCTCCTGTCTTCTACCTGGACTGGGAGTACACCACCACCCCCGCCCAGCACCTCAATTTATGAGAGCTGAGGTTCTCTAGCCCTCTCAGCTGAGCTCAGCCTGGTGGGTCGGTAATGAACATGAGCACTCATCTGAAGCAGATGGGGCAGTCTTGCCGGGCTCGAAATATTAAACTCCCAGGCACAGGACACCAACAGCCAGCTCAGGTTCCCCCTCTTCCCCTGGAAGGAGCCAGAGGCCTAGCAGGATGGAAGAGGGACCTGGCAGGAGGGCTGAGCCTGTCCTGAGGCAGCAAAGTGACCCTGGCACAGGCCACAGAACGGACTAGGAGCCAGCCATGCCCGTGTCCCTCTCAACCGGTGGCCACACTTGCCCACATGGCTATGAACACCCGAGCCCTCTCTGCCCATTGGGAGATTTCCCACCCCCGGGGAAAGGCCCCAGGAATCGGAGCTTCTAGCTTCTCCTCAGCCTGCTCAGAGAGGTCTCTTCTCGCAGGTCCTCCCTACTCTGGCCATCTACACACATGAACAGGAGATGGGAAGACTCCCCTGGGTCAGACAAACACACAGAGATGTCCACTCCTGTCCTGTGAAGGCATGCTGGCCTCAAGGCCTATCTAGTCCTGGAAGACCAGATTGCACTGGAGACAAGGACCCTAACAGGAGGAGCCCAAGACAGTGTAGGGTCGGTCCAACAGGTGTGAAGTCTTCTAAACCAAAGTGGCCCCTGGATGGAGCCCTTGCGGCCCATCCCCCTACTACTGAGAATACAGGTCGGGCTGCCAGGGCCCAGCTGGATTAGCACACCCTCATTAGTCTGCATGACCAGTTCCCAGAGGGAGGCTGAGGGGATAGATACATGTGGGTATGGTGCCTGGCACAGCCGGGCCAGGCTGGGGGTGGGGAAGTGGCTCATAAGCCTGCCTGTCTTGGCTGCTCCCCTCCCCCCCAGTCACTATCTCCCTGTCTCCTCTGCCAGGCCAGTGTTCAGAGGCCGCCTCCTCCCTTCCAGCATAGGTCAGTGGGTCACATGGTGACTCATGCTTATGACCCCTGCCAGGGGTGGAGCTGCCAGGACAGGTGGGGGAGGTACAGACAGGGATTGTCACTGTATAGACCTGGTCACCAGTATCTGGGGGACTTTACCCAGCACACCTAATACAGCAGGCAGGTGATGGAACCTCCGGGCTTTCCCAGGGCCTCTGGTGGCAGAACCTCCCAGCTTTACAGGGCTCTTTTGTTCTCTTTCAGCCGGCCCTACCCACACACACCCAGTTTGGGTTACCGAACGGTGTCCACCCCGGGACTCAAAGCAGGCAAAGAGCTCCACCGGCCCAGCCGGAGGTGAGGTTCAGGCAGACCCTGCCCCCACTGCCTTCGCACACGCTGTCTGGCTCCCATCCCCCACTGGCCCCCAGCCAGAGTTCCCAAGGGTGACAGGACAATAGATCAGAGCCGCCCCACTGGGACAGCCACAGTGGCTTCCTCCTGAGGGCAGACCCTGTACCAGTGAGATTTCCCGACTAAGGGTCCAGTCCCTCGCAGGGGTCTCTGGCTCCAGAAAGACCATCTAGGGGTCACCCATGAGAAGATTTGGGGGGGGGGGGAGAAGACTCCCAGCTTCAACTAGGGGAGGCCGCTGCAGACTAAAGAAGATGATGTTGCTGGAAAGAGCCGAAAGGATAGACACACCTTCAAATGGGAGCCAGACTGAGGCCACAACTAGGCCACAGAGGTTAGGGCGAAGGTTAGACCTGCAGGGAAGGTGGGAGGCCTGAACCCTGAGGACACTAACATGCTTGGGTGTGGCACAGGAACAGGAGGTGGGAAAGCGGAAGGAGCAGCCAGACAGGTAGGAGCCACTGGTGCGCCCGGTCAGGGAGGGAGGGGTGAAAGGACACCCCACTTGCCAGGAAAACAGTGGGGGCTGGGAGGCTGCAACAGGCTACAGCAGAGAAGAGAGGTGCAGACAGGGAATCTCTCTCCCCATAGGTAAATTCAATGGAAATGCTTCCGCCAAGCTGCCTCTCAAGGACACTGGTCATTAGAGGTAACCCTCGCTACCTACAACAGGGCTGAATCCCTGTGAAGTCATGGTACCCTCTGCCAAGCTGACAACCCAAGGCAGGCTACCCCACACCATGCCCTGCTGCCTGGAAGGCCCAATGAGGAGCAATCCCTCACCTATACCCTAGAAAAGCACCAGCATTGCCTTGGGGTCACCCAGTCTTAGGGGAAGGGGAACCAAAGTATTCAGTGGCCCCCAAGGTCCTCTGGGCCTACCTACTCCCACCAGGAAGAAGCAGGAGTCTGGGCCAGGCCAATGATTTGAGTCTCAAAACAAGCACCCCTTAGCCGAGTGGTGGTGGTGCACGCCTTTAATCCCAGCACTCGGGAGGCAGAGGCAGGCAGATCTCTGTGAGTTCGAGGCCAGCCTGGGTTACAGAGTGAGTTCCAGGAAAGGCGCAAAGCTACACAGAGAAACCCTGTCTCGAAAAAAAAAAAAAAAAAAAAAAAGCACCCTGGGTTTCCTAGGGGCTGCAGGCAGGAGAAATGTCATCGAAAGGACAAAGTACATGAAGGCCTCACCCTGCACACTGCTCTGAAGGTTGGGCAGCTTTGTGCCCTGCCTCCTCCCACAGGCATCCTGTGTCTTGCTGGGCAGGGCAGCTGGTGCATGCACAGGCAGGACAGCACAACCAGCAGGTTGTTCTGCTACAGAAGGTCCTGCCCAGGCCACTTGGCCATAATAAGCATCATCCATCTGGACCCCCAACTACCTCAGACTGGCCCAGACACCAGGCTGCTGGCCAGGGCCCTACCCCCACCCCCGATCGTATTTGGGCCTTGCCTTGCTTTTGTTTTTGAGATCTATGTGAACCACCACACCTGGAACTCCTGCTCGTCTCCCTTTAACCCAGCCATGAGTGACTCCCATAGTTGTCTCTAGACAGGGCAGCATAGGCCAGGCTCTTAGCAGCAGCCTTTCGGTCTCAAGGTGGAGGGACTATCCCAGGAGAGGAGCAAGGCTCTGGAAACAGGAACCGGAACTCAGCTCCTGAACCTCCCAAGCTTCAGCTTCCTCATCTACATAAGGGGCACTTACATCGCTTCTTGGATAAGCATGGGGATGGGTCACCCCACAGAGATGCCAAGGTCAGGATCAGGAAGCATGGAAGGAAGGAGCAGAAAAGAAGGGGAAGGAGCCTGGACTAATGTGCCCAAGAACTCGGGGGACAGAGCTCAGATGAGAGCGGGAGAGACATGGTCTCATGTGGCAGAAACTGCGGCAGCCCTGAGTCCCTCACCAGAATCCCCCCAAGAAAGGTCACTGCGGACTCCTGACCCAGCGGATGAATTGGCAAGAGGGATGATGCCAAGGCCAGTGGTGACAGGAAGCAGACAGTGGGGGAGAAAATGAAGAGTGAGGAGGTGGTGTGGCTCATTACAAAGGGTCCCCAAGGAAACTGGGGCTGGAGGTGACAATCGAGGTGAGCCTAGCTCCTAGCTGTTCTGAGGCACAAACTGTGGATGCCATCTTGGCAGAAGGAAAAGGTGCACACACCTCCCTGTACCAGCTGAGAGTCATGTGTGGTTGGTCTTGGAATTTGCCCCAGGGGACAAACACAGACCCTGGAACAACCAGGAAGAATCTGAGGAACGCTTTCCTCGTGCCCAGAGGGTTCCAAGCCACTGGCCAGAGGTAGACAGGAAATATGGCTCACTCTGGCCAGCTATGAGCCTCTAGGGGATTGTTCTTGAGTCTCTCTGCCCAAGGCCCTCTTGACTAAGTCTGGCATGAAGCCTTGGTGCTCAATCCATGCTTGCAGAAGGCAAAGGCCTGCCAAGCTCTGGCTCCAGTACCTTCCAGGGTGCTGAGAACCTCCAGTTGGCTTATAGGCTGTGTGTCCAGGCTGACCTCAGGGTGAGGAGGATCTGCAAAGAATGACTGGCCTGCCTCCTTCTCATTTACACCCAGGCTCTGGATATCTTTCCGAACCAGGCTCCATCGGAATATGCCAGGCTGCCTTCAAATCAAAGACCTAGTCAGAGCCAACAGACCAGGCTATTTCCTGAAGGCAGACCTCCAATTAGATGGAACCAACCATTCCAAAGGGATGCAGGAGCTCTGCACTGCCTGGCCAGCTCCCGCTCCCAAATCTCTGGGGTAAACAGTAGGCTGACCAACCCCAGCCTTGAGCCATCACAGCTCCACAAGAACCCTGGGCCTGGCACAACCACACAGCCCAATTCTTCTGTCATCTGTCTAGAAACCGACCGTGACAGCAGCCCTCTCCCTGCCACTTACCTTTTTTCTTGAAGAGCCAGCCTTGATGAGGCAGGACTTCTGCAGGGCCAGGTAACCACCGATCACTTCAATCTCATGCACAGTGGGGTAGCGTTTCTTAAGGGTGTTCTCCAGGGCAGTGTGGGGTCCTGAGAGGCTATCAGCATCCTGTTCCTCAGCCTCCTGTTGCTGGGACTGCCCATTGGCCTGACTGAAGTGTGGCTCCTGAAGGGTCTCTGGCTTCCTCTTGGGCACCACTATGAAAGTGTTGCTGCCTCGGTGTGGGAGTTCTGAGGTGTGCCCAGGCCTGGCAAGGTGCAGGTGGTGCTGGGGAGGCACACCAGCTGCCGAGGAGGGCAGTTTGGCTTCTTGAGAGGCTTCCTCTTCTGAGTCGACTTCATCAATGAAGGTGACTGGAAGTCCTGGCCTCCCAGGCTCCTGGCCATTCTTGGCCAAGCCAGGAGCCCCCAAGCCCTCAGCCGGCTCAGCTTCAACAGTGGCTGGTAGAAATGGAGGTGGTGAGGATGGCCTCTGCCACCTAACAGACTGGTCTGTGACAGCAGTGGCTGGCCTGGGGCAGCCCCCGTCCCTAGCTGCCCACTGCACCTCAGCAGCCAAGGGACTCCTCTCTAGGGCGGGTGAACCATCCGCTGTAGACACCAGCTGGGCTCTGAGCCCCTGGCTCTGAGAGGCCCAGCCTACCTCCCCGTTTGGCTCCTCTGACTGCCTCCCCTCCGAAGGATGGTTCCCAAGGGCCTTGCGCTTGGGGATCAACACGAAGGAGTTGCGGGAGTTAACACGGAGGTTGGCCAGGGCCCGGGCCTGAAGGTCCCCGATTGGGATAGTTTCCACGTCTGGCTTGGGGGCTGGCCTTATTTCGAAGGAGTCATTGGCGCTGGTGGCAGAGGAGACCCACCGGCGCTGGCTGGGAGTGGCACTGGCTGCACTGGGCGCCGGGAAGGCAGGGGGCCCAACTGGAGTGGCACTTGGGGTCCCAGGGCTTGGGGGTGGGTGGAGGGAGGGTTCCTCTGACTCCACCTTTGGCTTCCACTTGCCCGGCGCTGGAGGAGAGCCCGACAACCCATTGGCAGGGCCGGCCGGGGACTTCTGGGTCATGGGTCCATTAGAAAGCGAGCGATTGACCGCACCGCGGGGCAGGCCCCGGGGGTGAACAGTGAAGGAGTTGCTGCCGGTCTTCTGGAGGAAGTCGCTGCGCCGGGCCCCAGGGCCTGCGGTGCCATCGGGGTGCGCGGGCTCGCAACAGGCGGGGCGCTGACCCGCGCGCGGAGCAACGGGGACAGGCGAAACAGGGAGTGCGGGCTGGCTGAGAAGCACCGATGGGCCAGGAGCCAACGACCGATTGGTGGGAGCGCGCGTGGCAGCAGATGCAGACGCCCCGGGAAGCTGAGGGAGCCCAGGGCGGGAGCGCTCCGGGCTTCCGCGGCTGCGGGGCGCGGCTGGAGAATCGAACTTCTCCAGCAGGCGGCTGACACGGCCCGGCTGAGGCGCCTCGTACACCACGACCTCGGCAGCGCGGATTCCCGCAGCAGGCGGCACGGCGGGCGGGAAGCCAGGCGCTGACTCGATGATGAGGATGTTGTCGGCTCGGATGGTACGTACGCCGGGCACGCGACGGTACAGCTCCAGCAGCTGCTGCGCCGGCCGTGCCCCTCGCCGCCGCTCCGATTCAAGTCTCATGAACGGGTTCTCGCTTAGCGGACCCAGACTCTCGGCCAGAACCAGCTTCTCGTTCTGTCCCTCCGGTGCCGCGCCGGGTCCCGGACCTCCGCTCAGGGCGGCCAGTTTAGCTCGCCTCCGCTCAAGGATCTCCCGCTTCCAGGCCGGCATCGCGGTGCGCGGCCCCGGGCCCGGCCGCCCCAGGCCGGCCATGCTGCGGACGCAGCCGCCGACGGGACTGCACAGGCGGCCGCTCGCCCGACAGACTCTCAGCTACCTGCCTCGGTACCGCGCCGTGCCACGCCCCCCTTGGGAGCCGCCAATTGGGCGAGCGCGCTCTGACCCAAGGGCAGAACAGACCGCCAATGGTAGAGGCATACGGCCTAATTGATTGGCGAACACTCACTTACACCCTCCCCTATAGAGTTTTTATTGGACTACGACCGGCACCGGCCAGTCTCTATTGGCGAAGATCAGTGAACACGGCTCAATGGCTGCCCCTCACTTCCGCCTCTGCGCTCTGGACCCGGCACCTGTGGACCACAATTAGGCAGGGCTGGTCTTGGCATATCGCCTAGCGGACCCTTGCGACCTAGATGACCTTGGTACAGTTCCGACCTCCTCGACGCTCGGACGGCCACTGTTTCATGGGAAAGAGCCCTGCGCGGAAGCAGAGCGGTCCTTGCTTCTGTGGACAGTACACAAGTGCATGGGCCTTCCACCTTTGGTCCCAGGCCCTGCTCTAATCCAGAGTCCTTGATCCTCCGTGGGCAGGCAGGCCAGGGGCCCTTCAGGACCTAGAAATGCTGCTTCTGAGATCCATCCAGGCATAAGGAAATTTTTTTTTTTTTTTTTGAGAATCTCGTTTTTGTAGATCCCAGACCTGTTGATTAGACCTATGTAAGTGAATCTCTGGCACATAGCTTGCCATCTGTGGTCCTGCCAGGTATCCATAGGTGTAGGAGGTACCAAGTAAGCAGCCTCATTTCTACACACAAGTAGGTCACTCGTACAAGGAGAGCTTCACACACTTAGGCAGTTCTGTCATGCAAATGTGCACAAAAATTAGGGCAAGGGTAGTCCCACTCACTCCTGTTGACTCCCTACCTCGGAGAATGGGTAGGGGTTAGTGACTCGGGCACAACCTCACAGCCGACAAGTCTTTAGGAAAAGACTCTGGACAGAACTGCATAGTGTCCAATCCACACCCTTTCCCAGGGTACATACACAGTAGGGCAACTGCCTGGAGGCATTAGAAAATTGGGGACCACAAGCTGGGCAGCAGCACACGCCTTTGATCCCAGCACTCAGGAGGCAGAGGCAGGTGGAGCTCTGTGAGTTTGAGGCCAGCCTGGTCTACAGAGTGAGGTCCAGGACAGAGCTGCACAGAGAAACCTTGTCTCGTAAAAAAAAGAAAAAAAGAAAACTGGGGACTACCGTCTAGGAGTCTGTTCTGTTCTTTCTTTATCTGCCCTACAGTCAACAGCCAGCTGAGGCCCGGCACTGCTGCCCTCTGGTGCCACTTGCCTTCGAGGGACTCTGCTTCATGGAATGTGGGTCTCTACAAAAACAGTAGCTCCAGCCTAGGGGTGTGTGCCTTTACTGGCTTCTGGGCCACACAGCAGTCTACAGCTGGCATCTCCTTATCTGTAACTCTGACTTACCTTCTTGCCCACTCCATTAGACTGGAGATCATAATCTGAATTTCAACTCCTCAGACGGACGTCGTTCCCAAACCACGTTTTATTTTTTCCCTGGGTAGTATCAGAGCTTGAACCTAGAGCCTTTTGAATGCTGGGTAAGCACTCCACTAGTGAGCTACAGCCCCTCAAAGAATCACTTCTCCAAAGGAAGCTTCTAATACTCAAGGCTTCTATACTCAGATTTCCCAGTTCCAAACCACCAAAATAAAACAGGAACGCACAATACAAAATCTAAAAAGTGTTACAAGGAAAACCACTCCATAGTTCAGCTTGTAGCTTGCCTGGGTTGGAGACATTTTCTCCTAGCTGGGGTAGCAGACAAGTTTAAGTGTTCATGCCCAGACAGAGGAGTCACAAGCGGCTGTGCTGGAGCACAGGGAAGCATGCCCATTCTGCAAAGGGCCACACTCAGACCTTTGCCTAGTGATGTGCAACAAAGACAATTTTGTCACCAGGAAACATGGCAATGTCAGAAGAAACTTTCAGTTATTACAAATGAAGGCTGTTACTGACATCCAGTAAGCAAAGACTAGGCACACAACTAAACATCTTACATATCAGGACAGTCTCTTCATCCACAATAAAGAATGCTCCAGGGGCTGCTGAGCTAGCTCAGTGTCAAGAACATGTGACGCTCCACCAAGGACCTAGATTTGGTTTCTTGTACCTGTGTGGCTGTAACTCATTCCTGGGGATCCAACACCCTCTTCTGGCCTCCACAGATATTGCACACATGGTGCACATCCACACATAAATCTTTTTTTTTTTCTTAGCAATCTTTTTTTTTTAAATGATTTTTTTT